TTGGCCCCCCCCCCCCCCCCCACTAAGCGAATTTAAAGAAAAAGTTATCTTACTACACATAGACCGAACATTCATGTGGGAGGAATCTTGGTATTGTCACGTGTCTGGGGTTCGTGTCTAATACTAACGGGTTCTGGATTTGATGATTGGATTTATTTTTATCTTATACAATCAACTCGTACTTAAATAAATACAGCGCTCTCACTAATTACACAATTTACAGATCACCATTACACACGCACTAGGATTCTCAGTCTTCACTAGTCGTATCCTGGTAACGGAATTAAAACAGTCTCACTGCGACTAGACCTTCTAATCACACTAAGACTTCACAGGCTGATTTCTAATTCTTCTTCAATTACTAACTTTCCGTGGCTATCTCCAACAGATAAGAGAACTCAGTGTTCATTCCCATGCTCTCTGTTTACTCTGTTGTACGCCGTTGTATTCCCATTCCCTTGACTCCATGTCTTCCGTATATAGTCACGGCACGGACCACGCTGAAAATACAGCCCCTCTATTGTTTGACATCACCGCGTTTATGAGGATGTGTTTAGCGTGCGTTGCATAGCAACAGTCCGTAAGCGGACCACAGAAAACACAGCTTCTGTATTGTTGGCCGCGTGTGTGTTGCGGCCGTTGCCTAACAATGGGTCTATATGTCACAGTATAGTTATTACTGAGAATAAGGAATATCGGTAATATTCGCATATATAAGATCGCTCTTTAGTGTTGAATATAAGCCTGTATGTTAGGAAATCTATGTAAAGCCGAGTTTATTTAATTATCTAGAAGATATAGCTTACTTATGGAGTGTATTGAATGTAAGATGTTTTATTTTTCTGTACTTTTTTTTTATATTTAATGCCTATACATATTTAGCGCAATAAGCTCGAGATGCGCACAGACATGCGCATAATTCATTACGTGTATATGCTGTGTCCGTTATTTTTGCCCGATTTTAAATGTAATTGGAATTTATTAGGAAATCTCGTTGGAGTTTCCCAGTATGAAATCTCACGAAAATCCATTTAGCGGTTCCCGGTTTGTTTAATGCTTACGCTAAGAGAGTGGGATAGCGAAAGGAGCGTAAGAGATTATCTGCAAAGCTGTTAAAGGGTATACAGATAAAGGCTTCAATTAACTGCAGTTTAATTAGATTATCCGATGACATGTGAGGAAGTGAAATAAT